GAATCATTTAAGATACAATTTATAAATTATTTATTTCATAAAAATTTGGAAATAAAATAATTTTTCGCATCAAATGCCTTAATATTTTTATGAAGAGAATGGTGAGCTGAATCGACTAGTAAAGTAAAAAATATGATTCTATTTACAAAAATAAAGTTTACCTAAAAATCTTACTAATATCAAATTACATGCCCCCTAAAACCACTTAAATTTCGTTTGAAACATTTTTTAGTACTACCGACGGTTTCGAATACTGTTGTAATGAGATCAATTGCGAAGGGAAATCATGTTTGTGTGAAGTATCGAAAGCAAATGTTTTTTTTTTTAATATTACGTAAGATGTAAGAACAAAAACGTCAGTATCAAATGAAGAACGTGGACACCCACACATAAAGTTCGTTTGTTTCGTTTTAATTCTCTCTTTCGTCAAGAGACTCTCGGTTTCGGCTTGGTCATCTCGTCATCTCGTCATCTCGTCGCGTTTCCTAATAAACTTGCGCGGAGTTGGATGCGCAGTAAAAGGATAGAGATACAAATACAAATGATTTGTACATGCGAAGGTATGAGAGCTGGAAAGTGCTCATTTGGTATCACTAACAGTTAGAGATTTAACCTATATGAATATAATCATTGTAACGTGGAATTAATAACCTTACTTATACGTCAGACTTTTCTATCAACATATGAAGAATTTTATTTCTTAAAAAGATAAAAGAACACGAAGGTAAATAACAGTTGTTTTTTTCTACTTTCATTGTTAATATTTTTTATAAAAAATAATTCATTCCGATTCATTTTTTCTAAAAAATTTTCATTATATGTATGTTTCCAAAAATATTTTTATATACTTATGTATTGAAATACAAAATTCAAACTTAATAGATTTAAAAAAGTTTAACTGAATTTTGTAATAATGTATTTAAATAAGGTTGAACTTGTTAAATACTTGAGACATAATAACATAAAACTTTAGACTTGGATATTTGAACACATGAAACATACAGTTGATTAGATAAAAATAAATTAATGGTAAGAATTTCACATAGAGAATAAAGAAATCATGTAGGAAAATGTATGAAGTTTACTACGTTAAAAAAATATTTTGATCAAAATGGAATAATTAGGAATTCTTTGTAGGATCTCATATTATACATCTATGAATATAAAGAAATACTTAAAAAGATTAATCAACAAATGTTTCTGGACAAAACGTTATAACACTAAAATGACTTCTTTGCTGGTTCCTCCTGAATCAGTGCGAGGAATGACATGTCTGGACCGTACAGCATTTACAGCTAATATCCAGTTGCCATTCCTAAAATGTTGTGACATTAAAATATCAAAAATAAAACCAATTGTGAAAAAATATTTACTTAAACTAAGAAAGTTCAAAGCAATTCAAAATGTAGATAATAAGATTATTGCATATTTGAACCCTAACTTAGTAAAAAAATTTGAAGACCTGTCGGAAAATGACAGAGAGCAACTTTTGGGATTATATGAAGAATTTGGAATAACAGAAATAACCATAAATTATGACAATTGGCCTATAAATGATATATTAAAAGCTGTTTTGCCTGAAGGATTTGAAGTTCCAACTTCGTACAGTTTAGTAGGCCACATTGTGCATTTAAATCTGCGTGATATGCATTTACCATACAAAACGATTATTGGTCAAGTTTTCCTTGATACTATACCAGTTGCTAAAACAGTAGTAAACAAGATGAATACAATTGATACAACATTTAGACATTTCACTATGGAGATACTTGCAGGTGACAAAGATACAATCACAGTAGCAAAAGAAAATGGTTGTATGTATGAGTTAGACTTTTCTCAAGTTTACTGGAATCCTCGTTTATCTACAGAACATTCAAATTTGATAAAAATTATGAAACCTAATGATGTTATGTATGATGTATTTGCTGGAGTTGGACCATTTGCTATTCCTGCTGCTCGTAAAGGAATTAGAGTTCTTGCAAATGATTTAAATCCTGAATCTTACAAATGGCTTAAAAGGAATGCTGAAATTAATAAAGTAAAATCTAATATTAAATCTTTTAACATGGATGGTAGAGAATTTTTGAAGACTGTTGTAAAAGAAGATATTTTAAATAGACGAGTTAGTAAAGAAATTGGTTCAGAACACATAGTAATGAATTTACCAAGCACGGCTGTTGAATTTTTGGATGTATTTTATGAATGTTTTTATGAAAATGAAATAGTAAAGATGAGTTCTCAATCTCTCATGGTACATCTATATTGCTTTATAAAGGCAAATAAAGGAGAAGATGCTTGTAAACTTGCACAGTTACTAGTGGAAGAAAAACTTGGTTGTACATTGCAAGAATCTTTAGTTAATTTACACAATGTTAGAAATGTTTCTCCATATAAAGAAATGATTCGTGTCTCCTTTTTATTATGTGAAAGAATTTTAAAAGGCGAGGAGCCAGCAATGAAGAAATTAAAAATGGAAAATTTATCAGATATATCGATAAGCGATATTATTACAGAAAATAATGGGAAAGAACAAGGGACTGCGAAAGAATCAAAAGAGTAAGAATGTATTCAAAGTGTCAACAAATCGTAGTGTTAAACTGAAAGCAAAAGCACAGAAGGTGATGTCCAATTTAAAAAATGTAAGTGAGTTCTTACAAACAATAAGCATATAATTAAATACAAATAATGTATAATTGTGAATGTGAGCTTGGTTCTCATATAAGTATTATCTATTATCTGGATTCAATAAATATTCAAATACTGCAGTTTTTCATGCAATTCTCCTTTATTTTAATAGTTAAATTTAAAAGGAAACAAAGCTATTACAAGAGAAAAAGATAGAATAGCTAAAGTAGATCGTCAACTTCAGGAATTACGTAAAGAAATGCATCAGCCCGAGCCAAAGATGAAGGCAAAGAATACAAAACGTGTAGAAAAGAAGAAAATGCCCAATAGGACACCAGTGCAGATAGACGAAACAGCATCATTGGTTGGACAAATACAAATTGGATGAATACATTTATTTAAATAATTTAACATCTAAGTTGTGCACTGTTACCATTTATTAATGAAAGCATATAAATAATAATACGACTTACTATGTATAATGTAAAAAATATAATGTAATTTATATTTTATACAAATTTCCATTGGACAAATCTCGTTACACAAAATAAATATCATTACCAATGAAAATGTTTTATCGAGTTTCTTCTTATCACCTCATTTTCATCCTAAGCAGTTATATAAGAATAGTCAGATATCCCAAATGTTAAGTTATGTTTACTCAATGATAGCTACAGCATTGCTCTTAATGACTATTATTCATTTCCAAGTTAAGCATTTTCAGTGTGGAAACAGAAAAATTTCATCTCATTATTATTTACATCAATTTATTTTATTTTACATAGGAAAACCATTCATCATGGAGGTTTATACTGCCGGCATGATTGTAATAGGAGATGAAATTTTACGTGGACAAATTATTGACACAAATACATCATATCTAGCAAAAAGTCTACGTGCTTCTGGGATTAAACTACAAAGAGTAACAGTAATACCTGATATTGTGCGTATTAATTAATTACTTTCATAAAACCGAATTAAGTTCAGACCATTTTGAATTACAGATTTCAAATTAGAAACTCAATAATTATGTATAATTTATTATTTAGTTTAATGATCCATACAATTGATTTTAAACAAGTGTTTTCTTATATTTTATCTAGAAAGTTTCTTGTATATTTAATATCTCACTACGTATAATGTAGCCTTTTGTATTAGGTAGATGATATTGCAAAGACTGTATGTGATGCATCCAGAAAGTACTCTATCGTCTTTACATCTGGTGGTGTTGGACCTACCCATGATGATGTTACATATGAAGCTGTGGCTAAAGGTTTAGAATTAAAACTTGAACCACATGAAGAATTGGTTGATAATTATGCAACACAATTTCCTGAGCAGAAAGAATTTCACCGACTTACCATTGTACCAAGACCATGCGAACTTATCTATGTCCAGTTAAAAAGTATGTGAATTACTGCTAAAAGATTGACAAATATTTGATTTAAAATGAGAAATAGCTGTGCAACATCAGTTTATTAATTATATATGAATAATTTTTAGAAAAGTTTGCAGTTATAAAAGTGAAGAATGTGTATGTATTACCAGGATCCCCAAAATATTTTGAGCCAGCTCTTGATACAATAGTATCACAATTGAAGAAGGGAACTCCTTTACATTTTGAGTGTATAGATGTTAATTTAGAAGAATTATCTATTGTGAACATTTTGGATGAATGTGCAAATCATTGGAAAAATAAAGTTAGTATTGGTAGTTATCCGCAAATAGCATCTGATAATTATACAAGAATTACATTAGAAGGAGAGAAAAAGTATGTCTTAGAAGCAAGGGGACAACTTTTGTATTCTCTACCAGTACAAAAAATACGAAATTTAGAAAATGGCTTTACTGATTTTCATGCAAGAGCCATTTTCGAAGGTGCTAATAACGAACCACATGTAAAAAGTGCTTTGGTTATTTTACAAGAGTGTTATAATAAGTAAGTTTATTACGTTATAATGTTTTAATTGAATTGATATGAAAACAAATAAATTTATACATACTATTTTGTATTGCATATTTTTAGATATCAACATGAAGATACTTTTATAAGTTTCAATGGTGGGAAAGATTGTACAGTAGTTTTACATTTGGCTGCCACTGTTTCAAAATTACAAAATTATTCAACCTTATTGTGTTTGTATGTAACAGCTGATCCATTTCCAGAGGTAATGTTCAATTAAAAGTTGTTGAAACCATTTTAAATATTTCTAAATGTATTTTATCTAAAGAAAATAATAGTACTCTACATTTGTTCGCAGATTGATTCCTTTGTGGAAAGGGCAAAGCAGTATTATAATTTACAGTTGATAAGAAAAGAACGTCCTATACTAAAGGCATTAAATTCGCTTGTGGAGGAAAGAAAGAACCTAAAAGCAAGTCTAATGGGAATGCGAATGGGTGATCCTGGTTCAGAAAATATGAAACCTTTTACACCAACTGATCCTGGTTGGCCGCGTCTAGTTCGCGTAAATCCTATCCTGAACTGGACGTACGACCAAGTGTGGAATTTTTTATTAAAGTACAAAGTGCCATATTGCCCGTTATACGATCAGGGTTACACAAGTTTAGGAACGAAGTCAACCACGCTACCAAATCCACGATTAAAGGATCCTAAAAATCCTTCGTCCTACTTGCCAGCGTATACTTTGACTGACGAGTCTGCTGAGAGGCAGGGCAGAGTACAATGAATCTTATTTATGTACAATTTATAAAATGGTGCAGATTTTAACAGTACTTGCTGGTACTGAATAGCTTGACAATGTTTTTTACAAAAATGCAAGAAAAATATTTTGTGTATAATGCACGGCTATATAGTATTACTACATATTTTTAATAATACGTAAGCACACAAAATTAACGAAGTATTAATAAAGTGGCACCACTATATAGATTATTTAGTTTTAACAAGGTCAGAAGTAGTCAAATGTTACCACTACTTATTTACAAAATGTTCGACGAACTATTTTATAGTAATAATTTCTGTTTCTGTAGGGATACGAGAAGATATATTAGATTTAAATAACTGTAAAATAATCTAGTATTATACCTTATTGAAATTTATTTATGATTGCAAAATCATTTATCAATAAATAATTGCGAACAGATTATTAATCTCGTATAATCAAGTTTATAAAAAATACGGATGATATATTATTCTTCAGAATACCGACCATTTTGTATATTTTTAAATATCAAAGTACATACTTACTGCGTGAATAATTAAAGCGAATTTATTTTTTGCACAGAAAAATGTGTTTATAAAAATATTAAAATTGTGTGTGTAAAAGAGAATTACATTATTTATAAAATTGCTTAGACACGATGTTTGTTTGTTCTGGGCAAAATAAAATGTAAACAATTGTAAAAAGTGAAAATTTATTTATTTATTTATTTGCCACGTGTGGCCATGTGCATCACAAAATTAACGCAAATGATACATAAATACCTTTATATAAATAAGCATCGCAATTGGGGAATATGGTGTATAACATACAACTACATAGTATGTTAAGTAAAATAGGTTGAATAAGTTTGTATACAACAAGGACGACAAAGATTAGTATAATTTTCATAAAAATTGATGGAATTGAAATAAGGGAGGACGTTTCTTATGTTGTTGGTTTCGTTTAAGTTCGTTTTCAGATCACTGGCAATAGAGAAACGAGTTTGTTCCAACGAAAATTTGGGGCATTCCAGTAGAATATGTCATGTATGCTACATGATGAATATTCAGGACGATTTCACTTTGTGATAAGAACATCATGAGCAGTTCTTGAGTGACTTATTAGAATTCGAGACCTATTCTATCAATTCATAACGGATTTTTTAATAAATAGTTTTGTGTCCTGCAAGCTGATTTTACAATTATATCATCGGCAATTTTATTATCGGTTAGACCAAGATGACCAGATTTATTTGTCCTTCTTTCGAATCTCTACAATAATATTTTGAATAGATTGGCTAATACCGTATTGTATCCAATCACTAATGGTTGGAAGAGCCACTTTAGAATAAGTGAAAATAGTACAGGTTTGTCTGAATCATGGAGATAAATTAAGGCACGTTATATAGCATGGATTTCACACGAGAAATAGGTGAAACTGTCAGATAATCTATTTTAATATATTACAAGAGGTATAGTAAATTCTCCCTAATTGACGCTCAGATTGTATACTAAAATGGACAATTTGGGAAGAGAAGATACGATTATTTCAGCCTTGTGGCTCGTTTTTATAGTTGTCGACAGCGCGAGGCTCGAACAATCGTATCTCCTCTTCCCAAAATTGTCGATTTTTGTGGACAATCTGAGCGTCAATTAGAGAGACATTACTGTAGTGTCATTTATAAAATGAATTTGATAAAATCGTCATTGTCACATATGTGCGATGCTGGTAGCAAACGCGTTAAAAACTCTTGGATAACGACCTTAAGTATTCCATTATTAGTGTCATTATATACATATTTGTTAGGTTTGCGAAGAAAGGTTTTGAAGGGATGTTGTGTTGTGTTTAAGCGGAAAAAAATGGAAAGACGATATTTTAAATATGGGAAAGTCAACAACACTTCAGTTTAAAGATAGTTGGTATGTTATATGTTAAAAAATAATTAACAACAGAGTTATTAGAGTTATTATTTTCGTCTAACACATACTGGAGATTCGTTTAGTTAATTTTCAAAACTAGATGTAGGAATGGTTCTGAAGCACCCGGGATAATTCTTAAACAGTAAGATCGGATTTTTAATTGTTGAGCCATATATTATGGATCCACAGTTCAACTTCTACTGAATCGAAATTCTGTATGTAGTTAGTAAAGCATTTCTATTAATACCTTAATTTGTACGAGCCAGACACTTTTCAGAATACCCAATTCTTTTAGAGAGTTATTTTTAAGATTTTTAAATTGGTGTATCCAGCAGAATTCTTTGTCAAAAGTAAGACCAAGTACTGTGTTAGTTGATCCGCCGAGGAAATTGGGTCAGCGTTCATAATAAAGTTTATGCAAGTGACGTTTTTCTACCTCCCCCCAAAAATAGTACGTCTAAATGTCGATAAATTTATTAATTAAAAGTCGTTGGTTACAATAAAACGAACGCACAAAAAAAATTTATGCCAATAAAAAAATATCTGAATAGAGAACAATATTAAGCAACATTTTTAAATATCTATAAACGCGATTGTCAGCATTAAGGTGCAAAAATGGCTACGGTACGGAACTAAAATCAAACGGACAGCACATCAGCTTCTTTTTACTATTTTCGTGACCTTCGTTGTCGTCGAATCGAAGTCTCAGAAGTTACGAAACAGCTAGGAATGCGTCCTAGTTGCATCACCGTGATTAATCGGGGGTACCGTCGCGCGACGAAACGACAGAATATTCCAATTAGGGGTTAAAGACAGCTACGATCCCATGATTTGCATTCTCGAAGCAGAGTTCCAAGAACCGAAATTCATCGTAGCCGGTTCTTCGCTCGTAACAGCGCCAGTCGGACTCTTTCAGACTCTTTATGTAACAATTATTTACTTTTTCACACAAAATCAAGGGTGTTCCGGGTCGGTGGAAGTCCCTCCAGCCGTGTCGGCCACGGAACCTCGACTGATGATCATCGTGACCGCCCCGAATGACTTTGACGCACGTTCCTGCTGACCAAGAACAACTAGGGGATGATCCCCGGCTGATCCTCCGCGGGAAGCCAGCTAAATCACCGGGATTAAGGTTTCGGCGTTTTAAGGGGGTAGAACGGTATAAAATAGCCGGCTGATCGGCGGTATCAAGGAGAGGGGCTGGCGGACGGTGTGGCCAACATGTCCAACGACAGTATCCATTGGGAGGCGAGATACGGGCCTGCTGGACCACCCCGGCTGCTCGGATGGAACGTTCCTCCGGAGGAGATTATTCACATACCGGATCATTGGCTGGTCTATCCCGAGCCGAACCCCTCCCTTCACTATTTATTGGCTATCCTCTACATTCTTTTCACTTTTCTCGCGTTGCTTGGGAATGGCTTGGTGATATGGATCTTTTGCGCGTAAGTCTTGTACTATCAGTTTCTCTACAACGTTCTTACTTATTCCCGTATTAGCAGACTGTGTCGGTGTTCGCGTAAGACCAAACGGGTTCGTGTCACTCAACGGTGGTAGCCAGTGAACGTGATCGGTTTTCAATAATAAAAAAAATAGAACAGTTTCTTGTCTCTTTGAGCTTCCGCGCGACTTCTGTTACATCGGTGATCGTATCATAGAAATACGTATGAATTACTTTCGTCAGTGTTACTATAAGCCGCTCGAATATGGCAAAATATTGCGCGTCGTGCTGCGTTGTGAAAGTAAACTGTTAACTGGACAATAATACCGTTTAGTTGTAATGTATATTAAAACATGATTACGTGATATTGTGAGATATGGTTTAACTCTGACAACTATCGGTACCGATTCTGTTTTAGAAAGCTTACTTGTTTTGGAAACGTTGACAATTAGAATATCTTCGTTGCGAGACTGTTCGTAATGCAAACTAGACCGCGGATTTTTATGCGAAATAAGAATTGTCTACATTAATTGCAGAGCTACATAAACATCTATCTTTTTTTTAAATAGTTCTAATAATAGTTCAAATGTTTTTGTTTATTTCTCTGAAATGCATAAATTTTGCATCCTGGCGATAATAGCCAATGTTCGCATCATATGCTTGTTTAAGACAAGAGCTCTGCCTTGGATATTTGTCCAAATGATACAAGTCATCGTTTTCAAAAAGAAAAGTACGTTTTTAGATCGAATGCGACATGCACTTTCTAAATCATGTAATAGAACTAATAACTTCGATTTTATATTCATAGAAACACTGTTAACCGTTCACCTTATTCTTCTCGTTTTCAGAGCCAAGTCACTGAGAACACCCTCGAACATGTTCGTCGTGAATCTCGCGATCTGCGATTTCTTCATGATGATCAAGGCTCCTATATTTATATACAATTCCTTTAACACCGGGTTCGCTTTGGGCAACTTAGGATGTCAGATCTTCGCGGCCATCGGATCTCTAACTGGTATCGCTGCCGGCATGACAAACGCTGCAATAGCTTACGATAGATACAGGTATAATACTGTTTTACTATCTGCAAAACAACTGTTCTATTATCCTAAATTTATTGTTTACTAGCATAAATAGTTAAAAAGTTATACAAAGTGTGTCACCCGTATTCTTTTTTGTCAGTTACTTACAATGAACAATGCAAATAATTCTTGTTGCTTTTGTTGGGAGGCTTAGATTTATTAATTGTTATTTATTTGCTATTAATTATTTTATTATTATATATTTGTTATTTATTATTTTATTATTATATCGTAATTATTGGGTGGCTTCCGATTCGTTAAATAGACAATACATTTTTCTTTGTATTTCGATACATTTCACTGATTTAATACTACTACTTCAAACATATATATATATAACAATTTTTCTCTGGAAGGGTGTCCCATTTGAATAAAAAGTTTATATCTCGAAAAGGAGTTACACGAAGGTTACATTTATGTAGTGTTTTGCTAGATACCCGCGACAATAATATGTGTTCAAAAATACAGGTTCTAATTTATAAATTCGAAGCTGAGCTGTGTAGGTTTTTCCAAGATTACCACAAGGTCGAATAAATGACAGCATAATCTGCTCCTCTCGAAACCATACAACTTCTGTCGGAAACATTTTTATATGTCATTCGCACTTTTTCGAGGTATTTGATCGGGAGATTAAAATGGGACACCTTGTATATAGAGGATGTCCCAGCATCGTTGGTACAACCGAGAATAAGAAATACAATTTTTCATTTGAGGCTTCGTTGTCGAGAAAATCGTCTTTGAATATTCATCGAGTACGGTGAGCACATAATGTGCTGTGTATATTTCTGCCTATGAATTCAGAATTGATTTAAGTAAAAATAAGATATGTAATTTAGTTACTAACTTATTCGATTAACGCAAAAATTGTTGAAAAGACGGAATGTTCAAAGTCGATTTTTGTGACAACGAAACCTTAATTGAAAAAATTTTATTTATTATTTTCGATTTGTTTTTTTATGTAGAATCACCTTCTTCTCGGTTGCACCATCGACGTTGGGACACCGTGTATATTAATATCATTATTATGGTATTGTCATAGTTCTTTGGAATTTTCTTGTCGGCTTGATTATTTTTCTTGAGCATTCTCCTCCCTTCTTTGTCTTATATTTCTCCACCTTTATCTTGTACACCTTCTTCAGTTCAGTTTCAAAAAATTTTTCAATTCCTATTTCTCCTCTCGTAGCTTCGATTCTTCTTAACACATGCATCACCATTTCTTCCTTTTTCCAAGCTTTATTAACACTAACATACCAAAGCAGTTAAAATGATTGGTTCCTGATTTTTTCTTTTACAATTATCGATATTATAAAAAGGTTTCTATGAGAACTTTCCCGATAAAAAAACTTCTTTACTCAAGCATATGATATAATTAGACAGCGAATTTTTATGCAAAATAATTTTTGCATAAATAGTATAATAATAATTTTATGAAAAAATTATCTTCGTTTTAATTGTAGAAGATATAAGTTGGATGAAAATACTTTTCCACTTTTAATATAATTGTAATAAGTTGAACCCTTAAATTCTTTTAATGTTTCTCCAATTTTGCGTTCGACCTATGCGTTTGTATCATAAATGCATAAAATCTGTGGTCTAATTATAATATAAATCGTACGAAGTTTGAACAAAGGCAATCTTGTCTTTGTTACGAAACATTATATTATACATTTGTCGCACTTAGGGCATGGTAGTGCTAGGCGTTAATTTTATATTCAAAGATTGATATTTTCTAATTTCAAAATTTTTTCATTTTTATTTTAATACATTCGAAAAAAAACCGAATTCGACTAGGATATTTAAAACGCGAAAGAGTTAAAATGCTATCTACTACGATAAATTCTAATTTCCTAGCTTCAGTTTCGTTGATAAAATTACTTAGATGTGGAAATTTTTTGAGGTTGAATTTCGGCTCTTCCGTTGCGATTCCCCTCTGAAAATAATTAAAAAACTCGTTTATTATTCGTTGTTTCTTAGCACCATTGCGAGACCCCTCGATGGTAAGCTGTCACGCGGCCAAGTGATGCTCTTCATCGTTCTAATCTGGACCTACACCATACCGTGGGCCTTGATGCCCGCCATGGGCGTTTGGGGCCGTTTCGTTCCAGAAGGCTTTCTCACCAGCTGCAGCTTCGACTACCTGACCGACTCGAACGAGATACGAAGCTTCGTCGCAACCATATTCACCTTCTCCTACGCTTTTCCGATGACGCTTATAATATACTATTACAGCCAGATCGTCAGCCACGTGGTGAACCATGAAAAAGCTCTCCGGGAACAGGCGAAGAAGATGAATGTCGAAAGCTTAAGGAGTAACGCGAGCACGAACAGTCAGAGTGCCGAGATTCGCATAGCCAAGGTACTTCATTTGCTACCGCATCAGCGTTTCCGTCTAATTTAGTCGATATTGAAATCTATGGAATCGCATGTGCTTCTGGTACAGTTTCATCGTTGCCCATCTAGAACCCCTCATCAGCATCTGATCTGTATCAATTCTATGGAAAAGATTTTGCATACATTTTCTTTTCTACGGAGTTGGTAAGTTTTTATGGTAGCTCGCTAAATTACATTTAACACGTTCCGTGCCGAGCTTTTTTTATTCGAATCTTCACACTTTGATATTTTACTAAAACTTGATGTATTACGTGCAATTATTAATTCTCGTACATATAACAACGTAACAAAAACTTATCAACGCCCATTCTTGCGGTGGAAATTGATTCTTCGGTTCTAAATTTCTTGTAAACAATTTGTTCAGTTCACTAAGTAAACATGCAAGCGTGTACCATCGATGGTACACGTGGCACGGAACGTGTTAATATGTACATTCATATTTATTTGTATCATTAATATGAGCCGTTTATTTTGAAAGTGGCATATAAGTCACTTTTTCAAAACAATCGAGTTAATGGTAACACTAATTACAATTGTGAACGGTATCTTTTCATTTAAAAAAAAGAAAAGAAAGTGACATATGTGCCACTTTCAAAATAAACGGCTCATATGTACATTTAATATGTACCATGCAACATTCTAAAAGTCTCAAGTATTTCTTGCGTCCCGTTCAAATTATGAACGAGGAGCTTTATTTTCGAAATTTTAGTCTTAAGTACGTAGTTACGGTGAGTGAATCAGAAAAGTATTTGTATCCCAGATTGATGATATAAACAGAAATCATTTCCAGTAAGGTCAGTCAGTCGATTCGTATCCACTTTCGCTACCTATGATTTGTTCGCTACCTATTGTAGTTTCGTATAATTCGTTTCTTCCATGCATTCTATCGAGGAAGTTTTTCCTGTCTATTCTTAACGTTATTGAAATTTTCAAAGGCTGCCATCACCATCTGCTTCCTGTTCGTATGCTCATGGACACCGTACGGCGTAATGGCGATGATCGGCGCGTTTGGTAACAAAGCTCTACTGACACCTGGCGTTACGATGATACCAGCGTGTGCATGTAAAGCTGTTGCTTGCTTCGACCCTTACGTGTACGCTATCAGCCATCCGCGGTACAGGTAAATGTTATTTAATGTCTCGGATGGTTCGGCGATGTTCATTAGCAGCATCGAAGAGTTTACGGTTTCGTTTTCTCTTTTCTCTTACGGTTCATAAATCTTACGGATATTAGGGTAACACCGACTCGATTGAAAAAATACAGTGGAATCCGTTTATTGTGATCACTTCGGGATTTACGATTTTTAATAAAAATAACCGGCTAATAACATTGCACAGAGGATACGAAATTTTCGTTATTGAATTCGACTTGTCACATGTAATTGTGAGATTTGCATACAGATTCAGGAGTATGCTATATAATAAGCCCGTCTTCGTTAATAACATTTATGTTACATTTCTTATAAGCAACTGTTTTTTTTTAAATAATAATACTTAGTTGAAAACTCCTGACAGCGGATTATTTTTGGCATAGTGTTTTGGAACCGACTGATTACGATAACACTAAACCAGTGATAACATTATCCGTGATTATAATAAACGGATGCTACTGTACAGTGATTGTAAGTTTATAATATAAGAGAACAATCGATATGAAAATATGAAAAAAGGTACACATTTCTGCAGAATTCAATTTTGGTAAACGAATAAGATGGTAATTAAAGAAGTTATATAACAGTCTGGGTCGTGTAAATCTGAAACGTCATAAAAGGGTTAAAGATGTATCACGGGTTCGAACTTACTTTAATTAGTTCAAATTTTTAATTTCATTAACTTAATTACCTTGAATTCTTTTCTCACAAAATTTACCTGAAAATTACCTAAACTAATTAGTTTACTTTAGTTCAAAATGATTATAATTAATTGGAAAGAATAACTTAGAGAATATATTCTTGAGCTCAGAAGGGTTTAAGAGTCGTTGGTCCTTAACCCTTTCGCTACGGGCGGATTTTCCGCCGCGGTACTTCTGCTGAACGGCGTGCTGCGACATCACTGCACGCTACAAGACGTCGATCGTTGCGGGGGTACTGCAGCGGAGAACCCGCCCGTAGCAAAAGGGTTAATCCAAATGAAGTTAAACAAAATTGAAAAAAATAAGGCATATCTATTTATCCCTTGTTGAGAGAAAAATAAGGTGAATTATCTTTCTGCAGTAAGCACTGACTTTATTCGCTACAAACGATCGAACTTATGGAGGGCCACTATAGTGACCCGTAGTACCTCAGTCGCATTTTATGGAGGGCCACTTTAGTGGCCCGTAGTACCTCGGTGGCATCTTATGGAAGGCCGCTATAGTGGCCCGTAGTATCAAAAGGGTTAAAACCATCATTTGATGGAAATTCATGTGATTTTCATAATTGTTCTTCGTCACACTCTAATATCTGGATTTTCGGTGTATCGTTCAGAGATTATAAAGGCAGCTCTTCGATTTATGTATTGTTTCGGTAGGTTAGAACTGCAAAAACGTCTACCATGGCTCGAGCTGCAAGAGAAACCGATATCGGATGCGCAGAGCACCACCACCGAAACTGTGTCACAGCCTCCGCCAGCCTCAACTTAAATCTCGATTGAAACATTTGTTTCTGGCAAACGAATGTTAGGTGTATACTTGTCACTTATGCGATTCTATGTTTTCACTTCGTAAAATACACGATCCTTGTATAGCGAAAGTAATTACAATAAAGCAATTTCCTGGCACGTCTGCAATCCGCTTTTCTCCCTCGATATTTCTGCAGCTCTGCGACGTATAAAAAATCATTTTTTAACAACATCGAATTGTCCTAAATTTCTTGTGGACAGTACCTACATTGCCGTTCAAAAGTGTTCGCACATAGATATTTTGCGTAGATCACTACTTTCAGTCTTCTTATTTCTTTCTTTACAACATGTTTTGTCCGTACGTTCGGTTAGTCGCCTAACGTACATGCGCGACCGAACTATTGTACGCTCGATTCGCGCTTCCTACGGCAAATTAATGACGTGGAAGGGTCTCTAGTAGTCTTAGAGAACTTTATTTTTTGTGTTGTACTCTCTGCGAGCGCTGGTGGAAGAATGCTCTTCCAACGCTGGAAAGTCGTGGAAGAGCACCCGTGGATGGAGGTAGATCGTTTATTGTTGGTCAAGGCACGAATCACCCCTTGGAGGGGGGTGTCTGCCTTGACCCTTGTTGGGGCCTGAGAGGGTTTCCCCAATGGTGGGACCTTTTTATGGCCCTTGTCTCTGGACGCAACACAACATTTTGTTTCCTTTTTATTTTTTGTTTGTTTTTGCGGTTGTGGAGTAATACGAGCAGTATCGGTGAATAGATTACATTCACCAAATTGTTACAGCGAAGTGGTACACGTAACTGTATGGTGAAAAATGAAGCTTCGGACGACAATTATCTCTTATTTTGTACCTGCCTTGTCATCGCGATGTAATTCATTTAGTTATTTTTTATTCCGATTAAATAAATGTGCTCATTCGAGTAAGTTTGAACACTCCGAGATTGATTATTTGAAATTGCACAGCGAATTAAATAAAAATGTTGGTGCTAAATGTGGGAACTCTAAGAAAGTATTGCAGAGACAATCCAGTACAAGAGATTCTTTAGCCATTTCCGATGGTCTGGCAAAGAGATGTTTGCTATGGAAATTAATCTGTTTTTAATACTTTACCTGCCGCTGATACATCAGTTGTGCCATGGCACAAATTAACATTGATGACCAATGATCGATACTTTGGTCGCATGAAGTTCATAGGTCGTTGGATTCGTTTTGACCTGAGCTACCGTAACGCGAGGACGAAAACAAAAAGTTTCATTTAACACGTTCCGTGCCACGTGTACCATCGATGGTACACGCTTGCATGTTTACTTAGTGAACTGAACAAATTGTTTACAAGAAATTTAGAACCGAAGAATCAATTTCCACCGCAAGAATGGGCGTTGATAAGTTTTTGTTACGTTGTTATGTGTACGAGAATTAATAATTGCACGTAATACATCAAGTTTTAGTAAAATATCAAAGTGTGAAGATTCGAGTAAAAAAAGCTCGGCACGGAACGTGTTAAAAGTACTTCGAAGACCTTTGTTACTCGGAAGAAATGTCATCGAGAACATGCGCTTGTATATTATTTGCTCCATAGAAACAAATACCTTTATCTACCGACATTTTTTTATCATCAAAATTAAGCGAGATGCTATGCTGAAATTAGATGGGACACCCTGTATATCAATTAAAATACGCAAAATCGCATGGACTTTTCTTAATATTTCTTTAATCATCTTTATTAAATGATGCATCACCTTGTTGAATTCCAGTGTCTGTCGATTATTTCGAATCCATATTTGCACGAATGACGCGTTAAATGTCGGATCTGGATGCTTAAAGAAAAATGGAAAATTTTCAGAGTTTTTTCAGCGTTAAACCGTCACAATCTCCTGTCGAGCCAAATTCTACATTGACTTTTCGCAGTAACAAGCTACTCATTTTGCTAATATACATTGTACACTCGATTAATATCACAATTACATGGCGCGTAAAAATAATTCTAGCGTTTTTCAATTGTTCTAAATAGGTTGTAGAGTCGCGTATGAGTGGGTCGAATCATAGTAGCGTCCGACATATTCGCCTCATTGTGAGAAACAAGGAATGTTGCTGTTCACTAATGTGTGTATTGTTCACTGGTCAAATTTATTGTTGACATAACGTGATGTTAAGGTAATTTATGGTAACTTTAGAATTTATCTCGCTCGTCTTTTCAAGATTTTGGTATGTATAGTTTACATTTCAAGACATAAATCAAACTTCTTTCGAAATTGTCATTTACGTCACTGTGCTTCTAACACACTCATACGGGAACGCGGTGGAGCTATGTAATGTTACAGTAAATTCTGAAATAAAAGTGAGAGAACAGTTTGGACCGCGAAGAATTCAGTTTTATCGTTTACTAGAGGATGAATGATGCGAAAAGGAAGAAAAAGTTCTGGAGACGATTATGGAGCTTGAAATCGTGATCGGAAAGGATGCATGATCAATGAAGAAACTCTTGTGAGGAACAAAAACTGGCAAATTACAACTTTATTCGCTTATGCACACTACTCGCCTTATAATTACGATTCTAGGCCTTAGAAATCCGAGAAATTAACGGAAATGCGCGTGATCGACGAAATTCTGAGATCAGCTAGCGCTTGAAACGTTTCGATATCATGGCAGAAGAATCGTTTCTAAGTGTTATTTGAATCGTGTGATCGAGAATTGACTGTATGTGCTTGTGCCTCAAACGAAACGTATACAGCTGATCGGATCATTCCGTATGCGGTGACGTTCACTATGGAATTCTATGTCTAAAAATAATATCAACTGTAATCACACGAGTGCCAATCATTTCTCTCTATATAGTTCTCTTGGTTTTGGAATTCTGTAAAAAGCGACCGATCCTTTCATCATTTTCCGTAACAATAGAAACGATATTACATATGGAATGATTCGACGCATTGGGCCTAGTGCATATGAAACTGCCACATGTAAAAGAAAACATGCTGAAACAAAAAAATATTTACCATTTGTTATGTCACGTTTAATTAGACTATGGTTGATCAAGCCAATTCCTTTCCGACTTCAAATTTCCTTCGCATTTAAGTATTGTAAATTCGTAAAATACCACTTGTATTCGTTTCCAATGTCGGAGACGCAGACACAGTCGCGAATGGCAGTTTCACATTGTCGGATCAAACAATTTCAAAGGCGTAAAAATCGATGTCGATGAGCAAAGTGTGTACACTCGTACGATTGTAAAGACGAGAAGGGATCATCGCGATTTCTCTGCAAATCGGTTCCCGATAACATTGTATGCGTTAGAAAATTATTTTGCGCTTTTAGTTTATCTTTTGTGCTTCACCGATTAACACGTTGACTGCCACGGTGGTCGCAGGCGTCCGGCACCATTCAATTGTTTCCAACGAACGTTCGATCCTTGGACAGTGACATCTTGTAATCTCGTTAATTCGCAAAACTGGCAACAGAACAACGATCCAAATGTCGCGTGTACAAGACATCTGGCGGACATTTGCATTCCTTACAGCAGAAGCAACCGAAACAGGCGTGTACCTATCTTATCACAATATCGGTTTGATGATGCACGTTTCTGGGCAGCCAACATGTTAATTGAACCGTTATCATCTCACCTGGTGTTATTCTACAAACTCGTACACGAAGCTTTTGGTAAGTTCTTTTCAACCCTTTGAGCTGTGTGTTATCGTGACGAAGAATTTTTTAACGCAATGCACCAAATGTGGTTGATACTCAATTCTTTCAACTGAAGAATTCTGATCCTCTGCTACCACTATTTAGTTATCATACAAAATTGCAGTCCTGACAGATATAAATTTCTATTCTTTTTACAGAAGATTATCAATAACAAAAGACGTTGACATCACTGCGACTGTAAAATTCGAATTGTCTTTTTGTCGTCGAATTCAAAATTTGTCTAATCGTGGTAGAGAGTGATCTACGCACTGATCTCGAGCAGTGCTCGCGGCAAGATAGGCCACGCAAGAAGTGGAGACAGGCGCGTTTATCGGGTGAACAGTATAATTCTGAACTAGGATCAGGCGGAGGCTCTGCGTCGTTCGCGATCGTAGTTCAGAATTATAATGTTCTCCCGGCGCATACGTCACTATCCCACTTTTTGCGTAGTCTATTTTGCCGCGAACAATGATCTCGAGGTGAAGCAGACTCGAATACACCGGTTGGGAATCAGACGGCCCAATTGTCGGATAATTATCGTCGTTACGCGCCTCGGACCAGCAACAGCAAATCAACGACAATAAGTATCGTAACTCGAAACGGACAGCCGGCGACGAGAAGGGAAAGGAAACATGTCTTTTTGTTTGTCGTATCGTTTCGCCTCCGCGGACTATTTTCAGGCTCCTCGAACCGTCATCACGCTTACTCCTGCTGACTCCCTCCACGGTCTCTATCTACGGTCGTGGCTCGCTTTTGTACTATGTCACCGCTAAACTGTGCTAGATATACAATTACGATAATAAACAATAAATCACGTTCTGTACAATTTCTCTAGGAACTTGCTACTTCCAACTATATGTTAAGTTCACAGAAGACATTGATTTACTCCGGAGCAACTCCAAGCGATTACGTGGTATCGAGATCCAACTTCGCTGCCAGAACTGGGCAAATTGATCGACGGACTTTCCGATCAGACTGTAGATCATGATCGTACGTTGTAATTTTAACGTGTGTTAACTGTCGCGTCAGTGTCCGTGTCCATAATCTTGACACAATCGTGAAAGATATACAAAATTAAAGCAACTTGTTTAAACAGTATAACAATAGAAAAGACAAGTTTCATTATTGCTGGACTGCGGATTTTTATGCAAAATAAAAGCTGTCTGGAACAATTGTTAGAAATAGATAATTAAGCGAGAATTCCGTTCGTCTGTAATAATGTTACGATATTAATGATATTTTAAAATTCTTTTAATCTTTCCACTATTTTCAATCGCAACTAGACAGCTTTGCCATAAATGCATAAAATCCGCAGTCTGATTATTGCAATTGCTTTTGTAACCCTTTTACGCGCCGTAGATTCGAATAATGTTTAATGTATTATAATAAAAATTTATTTTCAGGTTCGATAAAGAGAAATTGTATTAGTCAGATATGATGTGGCTCTCGAAGTGTATAGAAATTGTATTTTAAACCCTCGTTTAGGCACAATAAGAAAAGTCAATCCGATAGAAAATTATAACTAGACTGCGGATCTTTATGTAAATTCTCGTTTTCATACGTCATTTTACAAAAGATACAATTAAAGATGAGTTTTCTTGGTCAACTAAAAAATTATACATTGAAAAAAGAAAATAAAATCGTTATTATCCCTTATTAATATATATATGTTGATTATTGACTATACTTTTGACTATCGAGTATTCGACAATCACCATCGTAGACCGGTGATTTGTCTGCATGGCGATTAGAACAATTGATCGTTAGCCGGATTACGTTTTGCCCAGCTCTGTTTCTTATAATAATACGTACGAAAAAACGTCGGCTACAATGACCGTGTGGGTTTTCCGCGAATAATAAATACAACGCCGTAACAATTACAAACAATCAATATTATTTCGTATGCGAGGACCATTCTGAAAGTTTTCTCGCTAGACAAATAAATCTGTTTCATTAATAATAACATAGTGGAAATTGTGAAACACGTCACGTAATTGTACACCAGAAACATATTCTGCCATTCAAAAGTATTAATATTAATATCACTCAATGCAATAAGTTGATCGAAAGCAAATGGCTGATCATCGTTAACACATGGGAAGCATTAGATAGTAAATCCTGTATATTTCTCATAAATTTTCATTGATGTGGAGCTCAGTAAATATAATAGAAATCTCAATGCTTTTCACGATGTGAAAACAATGGAAGAATCACAACATTTTGCCCCTCGTTACAGAATGGGGAGAGCACTGTCATAGAAGTATCCTTGTCGTTTATTTTCTATTAACCTAATATAGTGACTAGTATTATTATTATTGAATGATGTTTCTAATGACTTATTTAATAATACTATTAAATATTATTACTTAGATATCTGACAAGAAGATATAGATAACAATATCGATAATATCAATAACGAATTATCAGCGTGAATAAAACGTCAACGAATTTTCATGAATTCAGTATTCACACTGTTTTGAAAATCGAAATGATCTACGTTTAACAACTATCTTTCCGAAATCTCCGGATCGTTACTTTAAAATTCAAATATTCGATCATTTGTTACGCGGAAACGCAAAACTGCCTGTTAATAATATCAACTGATCACATAAATTGTACAAGTTACTATATACAGCTCCTTCAACTTACTTTGATTTAATACTATCTCGTTACGTTGTAAATTATTCAGTTTCTTTGTAAACGGTAAATCTAAGATATGTACACATTATTAAGCTTATAATATACTATTCGATAAATTAATATTTTCACATGTAGCTAATCGTATAGAAACGAAAACACATTTCCAGACTGATTTCATTGCTTTTGTAACGTCCTTAAAAAGCTCTCGACAAATTGAACATTGTGCTCTGATGTACTAGAAATACATAAGACGACGATCAGGCCGTTGGTTTCTATAGGGTGTCCCCAAACTCCCGTTGAACCCGAAAAAAGGTGATTCGAAATAACTTTTTCATTTGCGAAAATGTTGACTGACACGGACCGATCAACGAGCGAGTACGGACGATGCGTTTCCACGTTATAGCAAACATGATCTGCCATTGACCGTGCTGGACTTAGTCCGTTGTACTCGCTCACCGATTGGTCCCTGTTTTTCGTTAATAGCTCGCGAACAAAGCCGCAGAGGATATTTTCGCTAAGGAAAATATTACTTCAAATCATTTCAGAAATTGTCCCTTTCTGTGTAACGGACGTTCTATGTGACACCCTCTTTGCACGCGAAATTTCAAAACGGAACGAAGCTTTCATAAAACCTCGCTACGACCTTCTCACTACACGGAATGTCAGGTAATCCCGATCGCTGTGAGTTTCCGATACCCGTGGTCCGATTCACGAGTATCAACAAAGATGAACGATCGAAAGTAAGGTCGACGCAGAAACGTTGAGTTTTTCAGAATAGTCCTCCCTATGACTCGTCGTATACAGTGTCGAAAACAACGTTAAACAGGTTTAAAAAATACTCGAGGCGTGAACTTTAGACCACCAGCATAACAATGATCCCCGAACAGCCGCAACCGCACGGAGAATATCAACCATTTTTCTATGTTTTCCCTTCATCAATAACTCTTATTTTTCTTCGTCTTTCGCTTTTTTTTCTTCTGTCATTAACTTGCAACTGTACAGTTATATTCGTTTCCCTACGTCTACCATAACGATGAATAGAAATGTCATTAGAGATATGTATATTACTGATGACTCGTCTAAGAATGTCGGAGAGAACCTCTAGCTGTATAGAACATAGGCGACCGATCTATAGCGGGACTCGAACGGAAAACGAGGTTTTGTTTTCGAAGCGTTTCATCGTTCTCGCACAAAAAATGCGTGAATCTATCCCTCGATGGAAGAAGAAGGGGGCGAGACCCGTTTGGGAACGAACGAAAGAAAACGCGAGAAATTTAGTTGAGCACGCGACGCGATCCGTATTCGTCCTAAATGCGCGCGTTAAGACTATAGTCTGTCCAACGAGATGAGAAAGTACAAGTAAACAGAAAGGTCATATGACTGTGATGACCATTACTCAGGGGAGAATTTGCAGTGGTCCTTTACCGACGGCCCTCGCAAGCAAGTCGAGACCGAATTTTAAACCTTGAACTTTATTTGAGTATATTTATATTGTCGACGAATAATTCCACACCGTATCGAGAATAAGTAACTTCTTATTCAGAAAAGCAGATCTTGTTATCTTTTTTCGTTATCTTTTGGAGCGCCTAAAACTGTATGCCGGCTCTGACCTATTCATACGTCGATTGCGTACTCGTTGGACGGACTATAGAATCACCGAGCCAGCCATCACGATTTAATTTTTAACATCTTATTAACGTTATGAGAATGCGTTTTTTTACCCCGTGATCTGCCCAAAGTATTTTGTCAGAAGGTGTGCGTTCTGCAGTCGTTCTAGAAATAGAGGTGTGCACACGTTGAACGACGATATTACCAGTGTTAAAATCACCTTCGCGAGATCGTTCCGGCGGAGATGAATGAGTCGAAAGTTTCTTTCGCCGTTTTCTCATCGTTAAAACAGTGGTGTAAAATTTCCTCGTGGAGAACATGATCGTTGCCCGCGGCTAGAATATAACAAGACGATGTTTCCGCGCGGTTTAAACACGTTGCATTGTTTCTGCGTTCCTGTGCGGTACTTCGCACGCTTCTCTCGCTTGTAAACGCAAGACTGCGAATTCCATGCGCTCGTAAAACATACGAAATTGCCAAGTCGAGTGAAACTGCGAACCGAACTACTAATTAATCAATTTATTTGTTTAATTCTATTAACACTTTATTTACCAGAAGTCCAATAATAGACGTTCGAACAACCGAGCTGTGTATAAAAGAAATTCAACGATTTAAATAACAAATTCGGAAAGAGAAGTTATCATATTATACGAGTCCTAATAATTTGTTGAATTATGATTTACATTGATGTCACACTTTTGAACAATTTTTTAATACATTCTCGGCTGTTGCTCCCTTATCTTCAAAATGATTATTAGCAAAGTGTTAAGTACCAACAACCAGCATCGTTTTATAAAATGTGGCAAAAATATTGTCACGGAAAAGTTTGCTAAATATCATGCATAATGATTTGAATTAACGACATGCACGATATTGATTTTCTTTATGTAATCCTTTATGTTATAGAAAATCCTGATCGTCATATATGTGTTACACCGATAGCGAATTTTTGTACGAGTATATCTGGATTAAAGTTTCGAAAATTTTTAGTGGGTAGTAATCGCCTGTTTCAGTCGACTGGAATCAATGAGATGTATGAACGTCCACTTATGCTACGGATGCATGAGCTTTGCAGTTTGCTTATTATGAAGCACCGGCACGAAACGTGTTCGTGCGTGCAACCGGACTTCCGGTTCTCGAAGAGCAGTCGCGTTACAATATACTTCCGCTTTGAACTGCGTTTCGCGTGGAAAAACGTGACCGGGTGGTTACAACTCTTTGGAAGTGATGGCTCGTTTTAGTTAAATCAAACTCGAGGTAAAGTTGCGTAAACCACAACCAGGAAGAGACTCTGTTAATCGACTACTAAAGGAAGAAACGCATGACACTGAGTATTCGATGGAATCGTTACATTGAGCTGGAAAGAAACGTCATCTAATTCGTAGTTGCCAATTTTAATGACACTTGAGATTCGTTGAGAAATATTCGACACGTATTTTATTATAGCTACTAGTTTTCATATTTAGGTGTGGCAAACGATCCCAAAAGTTGGAAATAGAAATTTATAAAATATCTTGATCAAACTAATGGAGATAGAATAAATGAATGATACAATAGAATAATTTATACATATAAAAATTGTTTATCTTTGTATAAAAAAAGATTCAAAGATTCATAGACGACACTAGCGTGAAAGTGAATTTTGTGACAAAAATGTTCAATGATTTAGAAAATATTAATACAAAAAGATCATGTTAACAGTTTCTTTGTGGAATAACGTTGCTGTCTCAATTTCAGGGGCTATTTTTGTCCAATATAAAATCGGACAGCTATACAAAATGTACATGACGAATATTTTTTGGTAGTCTACACAAGTTTCGTTATAATCGGCAGTTTCAAATTGGGTGACGTCCCTTGTTGTTGTAAAGGTTGTTTCAAAGGTATCATTACAAATAAAAACACTAATTTTTATTCGTCATTGGTAAAAAATATTGCTTGCAAGATATTCAATTTCGAATATTCAAAATATCCTTTGGATCGATCTTAATCGAATGTTCGCTATCTTCGAAATCATTTCAAGCAAATTAACCGCTCGATAATCGACGACATATTTTACATATATACAGATTTAGGAAACATTAGAAAATCATGATTTGTACATGTACGCTAATTACACGAATCTATACACGCCTTTGAAACACCCGATACAATGAATATACAACTTTAGTTTAATAATTATCTTGTACATTCGCTGGCGAGTAAAGACTGAGCGGAGAAATTATTCACATAGCAAAGAATATCGCGACTTATATACAGAATGGAAAAATCGATTATTTCCGCGTCGATCATGAGAAACACAGTTTCCACTAGCAAGATTGAACGGAGCAGCGTCCACGAGTCCGAGTTTAATGAAACTTTGCAAGTTCGTGTAGAGTTAAAGAACAAGGGGACTATACGAGCGATCGCGTTAACGATACTCAACGACTAATTACACCGGGGATATTGAAAAATATATATTTACAGTTCTTCGGTTCGGAAATAATGTAATCTACTTCGTTCGCGTTAGGATAAAGATCAATTCTTCTAATCGAAGGGGCCGTATGCTACTTCTTTGACACGAAAGGAAGCGTACTCTACTTGTCTAGCCAAGAAAAGGCTATTCTACTTGTATCCACGTTGAATCTTGCCCTGTGTTGTCTGACCCGAACCTACTCTAATCTCCTTATCTATTGGAAAACACTTCGAATTTCTCTAATCGGTGATACACATTCGGTCCATATATTTCACTTCGTATAGTCGTTCGATCAGACTCTTCCTCGGGCCTCGTTGCTAGTCCGACAGGCACGCTTCTATTCTATTCGTCTGTCAAGTACGTCCCTAATCTATTTGTCTGCGGAGTACGTGTCTATTCTATTTATCCGACAGGTACACTCCTAAACTACTAGTCTGTCTACGAACGGTTTACTTCTACTCGTCTGGCCACATACGATCGTAATCTACTTGTCTGTCCTAAGCGTCTGATCCTACGATTTCTGACTAGGGGAAAAGCCTTGAACAGTTCTTCGTGACTATCGTCGAGTCTATTTCGCCTGTCTGTCTACGAACGTGTCTAATCCACTTATCTAAGAGGCTATCTCGATTCGCGTTGCTCTCAGCGGTCTAGAAGGGTTATCAAAGAGCATACGTACATATATATATCTTATAACGTACATGAATACCGGGCGATAAAAACGTTTAACGGCTGTCTCCCGGTAGGAGCTCTATCGTGTTTGGTGTCGTATAAATCTCCAAAGTTTCATTAAAAGACTCTGGTACGAGGACTGCGAAGGAATAGGGGAGAGGTGGGAATAACACGAAGACTGGAACTTCGGGAACGGCAGTTATCGTCGAGTTGCGGCCACCGTTTGCGCGCTTCACGCTCTTCCAAGCCACGATTCCGCTTCGATTGCATCTAACGCGTCCCTATTATCAACGGTACCATCTAATTGTACGTAAGACACTCAGCAAATAAACGAACAACCCGCGTGATCCTCCGGGGTGGGGGGCGGGGAACGGATCTGAACGCGTCCGGTTCCCCGCGAGCGCGACGGGTTTCTTTTCTGCGCGGGTTATGCTCGTTTTCGCGCGACACGCAAAGCGGTCTCTCGTTGTCAGCTTCGACAACGGTCGGACGAATGGAGGATGATCGAACACAGTTGCCGCGGATCTGTTTCTGCGCGAGCGTGTGCGGGATGATCTTCTCGACCGGTCTCTCTCTCTCTCTCTCTCTCTCTCTCTCTCTCTCTCTCCGGATGAGGGAAAAGCGTATTGCCTAAAGTGTGTGTTTGCTTGGCGCTTACCGTTAAACTCTTATCGTTACTACCGATTATTCGTGTCGTTCTCGCGTCGTTCGTTCTTCGACGCCGTTGAATCGTCGCGCGGATCATCGCGCGCCATCGCGTCCTTCACGGCGAATCCGTCTCGTTTTGATTCTCGATCCGTGTTTCGTCCGCGAACGTCGTTCGTTTTCCTCTTGTCCCACGACGAGATGGTTCTCACTCCAACCGCTCGAAGCTGCACGCGGCCGTGTCGTCCACGCTCGGCCAATCGCCTCTTCGGGGTGTTCGCTTCTCGTGTATTTACAGAACGGAGGGCGATTCCGAAACTGTGCCGTTCACACGGCCCCGCGGAGATCCCGCGGAGACTAACGGCGCCGCGAACTGCGACAGATTCACGCGGAGCGGCTCGATCTCCTGCTGGTGCAGAGACGAGAGGAGGATGTCGCGCAGGGACAAGCTGCGCTACGACGAGAAACGATGCTCCTGGGGCAGACAGTTCGCGTCCGGGCCCTTGTTGTAACCGTGATTGTTCGTTTTCGACCGTCGTTTCTCGTCGCCGCCGACGCCACCGATGCCTCCGCCGCCACCACCGCCACCGCCACCGCCGGATTTCTTTACTTTGTATTGGCGCAACGAGCGTATCAACATCGTCTGGCTGTCCTTCGAGCACTCGTCCTTCTCCTGGCTACGCGTCTTCGGCTTCTTCTGATCATCCTTGTTCTTATTTTCCGTCAGCGTCTCGTCCTGCGTGTGCTTCTCCTCTGGAAATCCATCGAGAAACATTCGTTAGCGTAATATGCGATATTAAAGGGTAATAATAATAATATAATAATAATATAATATAATATAATATAATATAATATAATATAATATAATATAATATAATATAATATAATATAATATAATATAATATAATATAATATAATATAATATAATATATTTATATATATATATATATAATAAAAATATGCGAAATTAATACGACGCTATGATAGCGGAACCAGTTACGATACTTTTAGTTTATTTTCAAACATAATTTACTTTATATTTATCGACTAAGACATATTAATATTTTCTTTCATTTAGATTCAATTAACATATTGTTGATCGGCAATTTTACAACGTCTGGGTACAAGGACACGAGTTGACGCATTAATATGTTAATTATTTATTAGTTAAAATTGAACTTGCAAAAGAAGGGAAGTTTTTAAAATACCACGAAAATGATCTTGATTTGTTGATACCGAATATCACGAAATTTTCGCGATATTGTCGTGTTAGTATACTGAACTACTTCAACGTTCTCAGAACGCCAACTTACTTCAGAACTAAACTGATCTGAACTTATGTTTTCAACTTATGTTTCCAAGTTGTATTTTCAACTTTATGTTTTCAACTTGCACAACCCTCTAAAAGTATCAGGACACTTACAGAGAATTAAATTTTGCGGAACCGATAGGAAATTGTTATAATCTCTTCAATTTATTTCGAAGTTATTTGGATGAAATTGTATATTTTGCATAATAATAAAAGTGACGTCAATCTTATGAAAGCAAATTAAATTCACCGTGTCGTTTAATTTCGACATCCGTTTGATTCTATTTTGATGCATACATGGTGCACATATTTCGAAGGATATCGTACGAAATGAAATCAGCATACGTTTACAATAAACAAAATGCAATTAAAGGCTAAACTAATTGCACAAGTGACAAATACCTCTAACTCAATGTGTACTTTCGACAGTACGATGTCATAAAACTTAACACTAAACATAAAACATCAACTAAACTGAATGAGAAATTACAATTTGTATTAAATCAGCAGCTATCCCAATACTTTTGAAGCAGGGTGTATGTTTCCAAGTTATGTTTTCAACTTATGTTTCCAACTTACGCTTTCAACTTATGTTCGTATGAACCTCTGCGAAATTTTTCAGGCTAAAGTTCGGTTCTCTTATTATCGGGAAAAAATAACGTTTCCTTTTTAGGTTAAAAGGCATCGTTCGTCGTTTGCGATTTATAAGCACTTACGAAGAACTGCCGATTCGGATAATAAATTCTCTGTGAAAAGAAGAAACCGGCACGAACGAAATACGGCTGAATTCTTAGGTAGACTTAATAAACACTTGTGAGAAGTTTCATTAAGATTGGTGTGTATCATTCACGGGGGTTGTTTCTTGTCGCAGGGGGTTGTTCCCGATAGTACGAAACGTGTTGTTACGAGGAAAAAGTTGTATGTTAAAAGGTTCAACTTAAAAAAGCATTCATTTTATCTACTTCTTGTTTCATTGATCTGTCCGATTTGGCAAATGAGCGGCTGAAATAGCAAAACAGGGGTTGCTCGTAATAGTTTGCAAGCATTTCTCGAACGATCGTCATTGCCAAGCCGTTCCGAAGCCGGCGATGTTCCATCGAGACTCGCGTGGGTAAAAAGAAGAAATAAGTACCTTCGAGGACGTCATCGAATATCGACCTGATGATCTTGGACACGTAGCTCTTCTCTTCGGTCTGGTCCGCTGCCTCGTCCTCCCTCTCGAGGTTGTTGTTCGTTCGAAAGATCGACTCGAGGACCTGCCTGGAGAGCAACGGCGAAACAGGTTGCTTGCTCTTGGTCGTTTCCGTGCCGGTACCGCTTCCGGTCCCAGTCCCTGTCCCGGTCTCGTTGTCGCACATGCTGATCGTGGAGGCGTTGTCGGTGATCAGCTTCTCGGTGTCCGAGTCGCAGCCGGTGTTGTAATAATTGTTGCTGCTCTCGGATTTCTTCAGGATCGACTTCGAGATCGCCCGGTGTCTGTCTATGAAAGGCACGCCCTCGCCGTCTATCGAGTCCGCGGACAGGGAGAGCTTGCTCTCGGTGCTTGTTCCTGAAATTTTCCTTCGATCACCTGCGTATACCGTGTTTGCCGGGCACCCTGAATACCGGCTGACCCAGAAATACCACCGGAATCGATAGTAGGGCGAATCGACGGGCGGATGTGGCCCGAATCATCTCGGAAGCCGCGACCGAACCCGTTTGCGGGGGTGGGATCGGAGCTGGATTCGACGCTCTGACCGATACCCGCTCGAGGTATCCTCGGGAAAGTGGGCAAACGATTACGTCAATCTTACGGGGGGGTAATTGACCCCATTAATAGCCACCTAAAGATGCGATTCTTTCGTAATAGGCATCGTTTGCTGGTATCCATGCAAAACTGGGCGATATTTGTGGAGAAAATATTTCGAGTATTATTTGAAGGGAGTGTTCTAGCGTGAATCTTCGGAAAGGTTAATTGTTTTTATTTGACATTTTCTTGATTAATATAGGTTCAACGATACGTCCACGGAACCTCATGTCGGAATTCTTCAAATTATGAAAGTTATGGCTGGTTGATTATTTATGATACGAAAGATTTGTAGACTGCGGATTTTTGTAGATTAAAGAAAGCGTACACATTATGTATTAACAAAAATCAATATTATGCATTGTTGGTATCTATGAATTTGTTAGATCGAAGGAGGAAAGCGTATATTAACAAAAATCAATAGCACTTCTCGTTTCTTTTTTTTTCAATTAAAGAAGAAGAATCAAACTTCATTTCACTGCAAACAACATCTCCGTAAAAAATTTTACAAAGTTCGTGCATTTTGTCAAGCTTGGCAATTTTCGATATGACGAACATGGCGTCGCATTTAAAGGGCTACAGTGGCGAGGGCGCATCAAACTTAAAATCCAGAAACATTGCCTTAAAGTAGAAGTTTCAAACTTTAATTTAAAAGAGAAGCCATCGTCCTACGATGATTTTTCGCTGAGTTATCGTCGGTCAAATTTGGCCAATTTTTATCCAATATTTGTCTATGCTATAATATTTTGAGCAGTGTATGATGTACCAAAAATAAATGCCATGCATTTTCTTTATATGAAATTCTATTTATTATTCATGTGAAATGAAATTCTATTCTTCCGTTGGCGACATTTATACATTAAAGAAAAAGTTGGCAGACTATAAACATAAACTTCCCTTTTCGTCTAGGAATTTATTAGTGACAAGGTTACTTTTTAAAGTTTCATTATAGGTTCAGATAAAAAAGTTACAAAAGCGTGAGTCTTTTCATTTACTTTGTTATTTCAAGTAATAGCAAAATTAGAAAAAAGCATTTCAATCATTGTCTAGTAAACTGGTACATCTATCATCTAAAAAAAGAAATTCAAGTCATTTAGTCCAGTTTTAAAAAAAAGTACATATATATTACGTTTCAAAGGGTGTCCACTCAATTTTGCCCCCCACTTTATGTGACAGTGGGCTCATTTGACCTAAAATTAGTTACTTGAGAAACGAAGACGTTAAAAATTAACAAATTTAAAAATCTAAAAGCAATTTATCCGAGAAGAGTAACGAAGCTAGTAGATGGAAAAACTTTAACGGACACGCGTAAAATCGGACACGTGCACCAACTCCAAGTAGAAGAACAATGAACGCTACCTGTGTACTGTTTTGGCCCGCTGGCGGACCCGAAGAGGTGCTGATTGAGGATCCTCGTGGCCGAGACCAGGCTGGTGTTGGTCGCCGCGAACGGTCTGCCCCCTCGCAGGCCCGCGTAATAATTGTTGTTCTCCAGATGGTCCTCTTTCACAGCGTTACGCGCCGCTATGTTCTCTTGGTCGTTGATAAACTGTGCGCGAAGTCTCACGCTCTGCAAACAGCCGCGTCGAATAAATAATACTCGACACACACACGCGCGCCTGTCGGCTGTTTTGTTAGCACACACAGTTACACACATCTGGGACCGAACCCTCCCGAAAAGAGCGTTATGCTTGTTCGATGGAGGGTGATCGACTGAGAAGCAACGATTAGGGGCTTGCAAGTGGTTAAGGAGAACGCTCCGTGGGACACTCCACGAGGTTTTTCTGATACCTTTCAGGAAAATCGAGGCAGGAAGAACAAGTGGGTCAGTCTCTTCGCGCCATCGATTTCCAAAAAGAATTCATTGACTTTACCGGTTTATCGGTTGTACCGATCGCGATTCTGGAGGGGCAAATGTTCCAAGACGAACTGTGTTATGTAGACGATATATGCTTCTATCTTAGTAATAACTAAAGAAACGAAAGGATAAGTGGATAAGAGAGTCGAGAGAGCACAGAAATAAACAGTCAAACTGACAAGAGAACCCTGGTGATTGATACATCCCGATGTTGATGAAACTTTGTACAAGTGTTCAATGGATCTGTCTAAGAATTTAGCTGTATTTCGTTAATGCCCGTTTCCGACTTTCAGTAGAAAATTTCAAACGACAGAAGCTGTCCAAAAATAGTTCAAATAAAATAGTTCAAATAAATTAATTCAAATACAAATAAAACAATTGAAATAAAATAGTTCAAATAAATTAATTCAAGTAACATAGTTAAAATTAATTAATTCAAATAAATTAATTCAAGTACAAATAAAACAATTGAAATAAAATAGTTCAAATAAATGAATTGAAATAAAATAGTTCAAATAAATTAATTCAAGTAAAACAGTTCAAATAAGTAAGTTCAAATAAATTAATTCAAGTAACATAGTTAAAATTAATTAATTCGAATAAATTAATTCAAGTACAATAGTTCAAATAAAACAATTGAAATAAAATAGTTCAAATAAATGAATTGAAATAAAATAGTTCAAATAAATCAATTGAAATAAAATAGTTCAAATATAAATCGATTAAAATAAAATAATTCAAATAAAATGTTTTAAATAAAGTAGTTCAAATAAATTCTGTTTCTGTCAGAACTGATGAAATATAACAGTTTGAACCGGTTATTTTCCGAGACTTTTCAATTTCCAAGCATTTCAGTTCGTCTTGGGATTTTAATCTCTGATCTTGTTCCCTCTACTATGATATTCTTTACGCTCTCGTAAGGTGATTGCCTGTTCTTGGAAGACAAATGTGATCGTAGGGATGCCGTTTAAAGTTTAGTTGTTCGCCGAGTAGGTTTCGCCATTTTGTTCTACGGATCGAATATCATCTTATCGAAAGAAACGAATAAAAAGATTTCATTTCAATATTTACATGGTTCGCGTATTGTCGTTGCCTGCGTTATTGGTGCACACTTGGATAAACCGGTGATCGATAGATAAAGTTTTCATCGAGGAAACGAAATGGCTAACATTACCCCTTCCGATTGCACGATTACAAGTTCGAACAACATATCCAATGACTTTTCCTACTTCCTTTTCGAAGCTTTACGAAGAGAAGATGTTCTTTTGCATTCTTTTGGATTCGGTGGAATCGACGGGGTCAAACTTCGACCATTTTCTTCGCGGCCCCCTCATCCATTATGGACAAGCCCATTGTTAAAGTTTTCAGTCGGCGACGCGAATTTTAGAAAGTTTGATTTGGAATTCCGTCACAGTTCTTCCGGATCTAATGCAACGAAAATTGAAGTACTGCGGTCTGCTGCGGAAATGATGAGACTCTATTTATGAAAGCTTCTCTGACATGAGCCTTATTTTTAGCAATCAAGGTGATATACCTTAAACTAGCTCCCCTGAGAAGCGACATATTTCGATGGAGAAATTTCGTTGGAGCTGGGTGTCGACGTCGCCGCCTCTTGGGACGGTTATCGGGTCGGTCGTAATTTTTTAAACATTTACAGTTCCACGGAATAAATACCAAACAGATGACCGAGCATGAATCAGATACGGGCCTGTTCGTCGTTCCAATATTTATTGAACAGTGAAGATCACGCGCTCAACGCTATACAGTGAACCACGAACATTCGAACATATTTTATAATGGAATAACTTCTCCAAAATTGGACCAAATCATTTAAATTTTGTCGAGACGATAGAGGAACTAGTATACTAGACAACGGTTAAGAAAATGTTCACAATAACTTCAACCGGATGGAAGGACATACGAAGTAAAAATTCATCTTTTCGAATCGTTTTATTTCAGCCTAAACCAAAAATTTATAGAACGTGTTTTGCAAGTCTCTGCAATTTATTTGCCAAAATCTGTCAACAGTCTCGAGTTTTCTTACAGTTATTGGCCGAAAATCGTGAAGAAACGCATTTTTTGTTGTCATTAATTGTTTGTAGCTAACAATTAAACAACAACAAATTCTTAAATTTCCATTCCGGATTCATTGTCAGATAAAATATTTAAAAACATTTTTTCTTTCTTTTATTATTCCAATCAATTACTTTCTCTGCAAAAATTTGTTTAGCCATTGTCTAAATAAACAAATCCTTCTAACAACTAAAAAAAAATTCTAGTAATTTGGTCCAATTTTTGAAAAGTTATTCCGTTTGAAATGACGAAATGAATTTCGTGACGCACTGTATATATAACAAGTTTTATTAATTATACGTATTAAAAAATGCAGAAATTATTACCACAATATTATTTATAGAAATAATATCACGGTTTCGTTAATTCCTAGAACAGACTACGAATAGCATCCGAAATTGATTTTGAAACGAACGATTTTTAACGAACCGAAGTTCTACTAACGCCCTCAGTTCCTCGAAGGGACCCTGAAATTTTGGACAATGCGGTGCAATTCCAGTTTCATCCCCCGGCTGTTAAGCATTTACAAGATACGGTATGTGAAGACTTTCAACTTCGCTACCCTCGAAATGTCTTCGGTGAACAATTAATTGCAGGGTAAAAGTGTTGCGTTGGGAGCACGAACTATCCAGTAAATCGAGAAAGTTATTTCTTGACACGCAGGGTCGCTTCTGGGAAGAAAGTTAACGCTCCTATCAAACTGTCCGGAAAGATTAACGCAAAGAAGGAAACTGGAAGTTTGTAAATACTCTTTGTATGCAGCAAACAATGATCGTCGACGGCAATACCTTTAGAGAGCCAAATGGGGTAATAATACTTTCCACTCGAATCCATCTGAACTCCAACAATGAATTTCACGTGACATGGAACATTTTATTGGCAAGAAAATACGCGAATTTACTTATGCCACAGTGTGTTGGACAGTATTCTCTTCGTAATTGGAGGAACTTCGCTTTCTAAATTCAAAGATCTAGATTTTTTATTTTTTATTTTCCGTTAATGAAACTTCTACCACCGTGTTCGTCACGTTTTTTCGGATTAAAATAACACGAAACACGATATGCACGAGTATTGACGTAACATCTGTACCGAGGTTTTCGCGACAACTTTATTCGTATTGAGAGAACCTTGTACATATGTGCTCAGAAAAGTTTCAAATGTACCTGACCAAAGGTCAATTATGCTTGGAAGTGTCGTTCAAGTTCCTCAAGCTATGTGCAAAAGAATTTGAAAGTAATTATAATCTTAATCCACCCTGTTTAATATAATAATAATCAGCAAAACGAGACGAACGCGATGGTAAAAGTTTTATAAAAAATAGCCCAAAATGAGAAAAGTAGCAATCTTTTGTTTCGCTAGTATAAGGGCGAGTCACATCGACACACTCGACCACTCGCAGGGGGATCCCTTGCGGCGGGGATAACATTTTCCTGTTATGGTAGAGATCTTATCATCAGTTACGTAGAGAGTACTGTATTCAAAATATATAGTCGTTTTAGAGACATTTCAGAGTTAGCATTCGAGTGGAAAGGGTACGTTCACTTTCCGAGGAAACGTTTTTTGTACTGTGACAAGTGACAAAATCGAACTAGGAATGTTATGACAAAACACAAGTTCCACAGCAACGTTAGAATATAACTCTGTTAACACGTTCCGTGCCGAGCTTTTTTTACTCGAATCTTCACACTTTGATATTTTACTAAAACTTGATGTATTACGTGCAATTATTAATTCTCGTACACATAACAACGTAACAAAAACTTATCAACGCCCATTCTTGCGGTGGAGATTGATTCTTCGGTTCTAAATTTCTTGTAAACAATTTGTTCAGTTCACTAAGTAAACATGCAAGCGTGTACCATCGATGGTACACGTGGCACGGAACGTGTTAACAATCAACGAATTTTTGTTCACGAAGGATTAAAATCATCAACGATCGTCATCGTCGTCGAGCAAAACACGTGTTTCACACCAACACCACACATCGGCTCTTACGAGTTTCTCAGTTAAATATCCTTCCCAGAACGTTTCGTGTGTGTATGTGTAAAGAAGGGGGTTATCTTTGAATGGTTGGTAATCATTTCATCGACAATGCGTTCGTTGACACGGTTTCATCGACACCGAGCTCGTCGACAATGTTTATTTACCGGCACGGTGGGATCATCAACGATCATACCACCAACATCGATTCTCATCGAAAGTTACTACGCTTATTGCCATTTATTATCGTCGACGTGCCTTCTCCTATTGTATATGCATATACGTTGCATAATACACGATACAAATGATAAATGTTAACACTTTAAATATGGTGTGCAAGTATACGATACATGTAAACGTAGTGCATATAAGCGTACTGGTTGAGTCGGTACGAACTGGCTTTTGTTACTATCGGATAGATACTGTATACAGTGGGTAAAAAAAGTATTGGCACACTTTTGTGAAACGCAATGTTTCGTCCTTCAACGGAATTTTTATTCTTCTTCCATTTGATTTCCTTCGAAACGATTTTGCTTCCTTCTCAAGCTGGAAATACCTTGATTTACAAAGAATTCCTTTTGGCTTAGCGAGACAATACCTGTATTTCTTCAACGAACGGTATGCACTTAATTAAAAGCCCCGTTCGCTAGCTTCACAAT